GAGGAGGAGGAGGAGGAGGAGGAGGAGGAGGAGGAGGAGGAGGAGGAGGAGGAGGAGGAGGAGTGAGGAGGAGGAGGAGGGGGGGGGCATGGGGGGTCCGGACCGGGAGGGCTCCGGACCAGGGGGGGTCGGACTGCAGTCCCCTGCATGGGGGGGTCCAGCCCCCCCCATGGGGGGCTGGACCGCCCAGGGGTCCTCAGGATTACTCTGCCCTGACTCCAGATCCGCCCTACTTTGGCTTTTTTTCCAACTTAAAGTTGCGTCGGAAATCCACCTATAAGGGGCCGAACAAATAGGGCGGAAATTGCTGCACCCAACATAAAATAGGGCAGAAATCCACAGAAACAGCAACAGAAAAGTAGGGCGGAAACTGGCATCAGCGGGGCTTGAAAAGTAAGGCGGAAATTTCAAGCCCTACTTACGAATTTTCCCAAAGTAGGGCGGATCCGAAGTCAGGGTGTCCCTGCGTGACGGATCTGAAAATACTAGATGCGTTTAGATGCGATCGCGCCCTGGTGCAAGCGAGAAGCACATCGTATCTAATTTCTGCCACGACGACAATCTAGATACTATGTTTAGATGCGCGCCCCCGGCCTGAACGGGAGCGCCGACGTAACTAAACGCATCTATGTTTCAAGCATATCTATAAAACATGTGGGACCGTGTCTGTTTTTCTCCCAGAAAGCATCGACACATGTATTCGTAACTATTTTCCCCCAAAAAATGTCAGTGCCGCGGAGTATCTATTCGTATCTAATATTTGTCAGAACGAATGCTGTTGGCTGTGCTCTCCGGGGGGGGCATGCGGAGGAAGACGACGGCTGATCAGTCAGCACGTTCGTCCCTGGAGGAGTGGGAGGGGCACGAAACCTGATACATAACATGGTTTCCGAATACCCTCCTCGCTCAGGCGGGGCCTCCCTGGAGGAGTGGGAGGGGCACGAAATCTTGTACACAAAATGGTTGTCGAATACCCTCCTCGCTCAGGCGGGGCCTCCCTGGAGCAGTGGGAGGGGCACGACATCTGATAAATAACATTGATTTTGAATACCCTCCTCGCTCAGACGGGCCTCCCTGGAGGAGTGGGAACATGATACATGGTGTTCGAATACCCTCCTCGCTCAGGCGGGGCCGTCCATGACTTCCCACTTCACTTCCTCCTCCTCCTCCTCATCATCAGCATCGTCGTCCTGACTGGCATGTGTATTGTCTTCCCTGTTCGTGGTCATTGAGCGGCCTACGACCTGGCAGTGGAGACATGGCGCCGTATCTATTCGTATCTGTTTTCGGAAGACATGTTTTCCAGCGATGGGCGCCGTGACCCCGTATCTGAAATTAGAAAGAAACATACCTCCTGTATCTAAGAAAAGAAGGAATCGTATCTAAATGTATGTATTTTTGAAACGTATATATTCGTACCTGGTCTTCTTAATGAAAAAGAGGTGAAGCACATATGGTTCAGGGAGGAATTGTAGATACCATGCGGTCCTTCCGAATGCGGCTGGCGCTGGGGAAATGAGCAACAGCATTAATGTTTAGATGTGTCTTCCAGGGAATTTCGGTCTTCGTCAACAACATCATTAAGATCACATACTTCGATCCTTAGCAACAACTCTTGATCTCAATCACGTTTCTTACATATCTCACCCATATTCAATCGAGAAACACCCAAATGTACATGGGGTCGAGGGGGGTAAAGGTGATCAGGTCCAACAATTACACGGATGGAGGGCGGCCCGTCCTTCAGATCGCAATGTCACCCGAGATGTCCTCGCAAGTAAGACCAACTCATTATGTCCAACTGGTGTTCGGAAGTGTATCTGACGAGTCAAGTGCTTCAGCGCGGGGGTTAAGGCTGTGTGCGGGCTTCTTGTTTGCTAGCATGTCCAATCGGCCTTCATGATGTGCCGTGCAACTCACCTTGGGTCCCCCTGCTCGTCTCACAACCTCC